TTACCTAGTCAGTGTCTATGGGCGATTTCGAGGGTCGCCCAAGTAAAGCAACCATTAGCCAACTGACCGGCAAACTTATTAGCCAAAGAGCCAAATATGAACGTTACAACATTTAAAAAAATAATGAGAGCCAAATCTGCGTGTTTAGTGAACTTTTATTACACTAAATAACAAAATAAATCTAAGTTTTATACTTAATAAATATGCAACAATGTGCTTGCATCTCCTTGAAAAGTTTAAGTAAGTTAGGTTAGTATGTAGCGCAAAATTTTACGTCGACTGTAAACATTTAAAAATCTACGCTGCAAAGTTATCAAAGGGATGATTGTTGTATTTAATTTTAGGCATGAATCCAAGTTCTCATCAATAAAGCGGTTTCTCAGTTTACTATTGATAATGTTCTGTAAAAGAGAGTTTGATATTAAAAACAACCTTCGAAAAAGCGTTCCATCTTTACCTAGCGGTAAGTATCTATGGGCGATTTCGAGGGTCGCCTAAGTAAAGCAACCATTAGCCCAGTGGCCTTCAAACTTATTAGCCAAACAGCCAAATATGAACGTTACAACAATTAAAAAAATAATAACACCCAAATCTGCTTGATTAGTGAAATTTTATTACACTAAATAACTAAACAAAGCTACGTTTCATGCTTAATAAATATTTATTCATGACAACAATGTGCTTGCATCTCTTTGGAAAGTTTGAGTTAGTCAGGTTTGCATGTTGTTGTTTTTAATTTTAGGCATGACTCCAAGTTCTCGTCAATAAGGCGAATTCTCAGTTTACTCTTGATAATGTTCTGAGAAATGCTTCCGTCATATTTAAAATTCTTGTTTCACAATGATATGTATGAATATGAACATAACAACCATAAATCAGTTCGACATTTTTCGTATGACTTTAAGTTTAAATCTAGAGAGTTTGATATTGAAAACAACCTTCGAAAAAGCGTTCCATTTTTAACTAGCGGTCAGTGTCTTGGGCGATTTCGAGGGTCACTTAAGCAAAGCAATCATTAGCCTTCAAACTTATTAGCTAAAAAGCCAAATATGAACGTTACAAAAAGAACTAAATAAAGATAAGTTTCATACTTAATAAATATTGATTTATAACAATGTGCTTGCATCTCTTTGAAAAGTTTGAGTAAGTCAGGTTAGTATGTTGCTGTTTTTAATTTTAGGCATCACTCCAAGTTCAAATCGATAATGCGATTTCTCAATTTACTATTGATAAAGTTCTGAGAAATGCTGCGCTCATATTTAAAATTGTTTTTTCAAAATGGTGTTTATCAATATGAGCATAAAATATGCTTGTTTTGTGAACTTTTATTACACTAAATAACTAGTACACGAAATAAAACTAAATTTCGTACTTAATAAATATTTATTAATGTGAACAACGTGCTCGTATCTCCTTCCAAAAGTTCTCATCAATAAGGCTACTTCTCAGTTTAATCTTGATAATGTTCTGAGAAATGCTGCACTCATATTTAAAATTATTGTTTCAAAATGGTATTTATCGATATGAACATAACAACAATTAATAAAAATTGAGAGCCCAATCTGCTTGTTTAGTAAACTTTTATTACATTATATAAGTAGTATACTAAATAAAACTAAATTTCATACTTAATAAATGTTTAATAAAGCGAACAATATGCTTGCATCTTCTCCAAAAGTTCTCATCAATATAATAATGTTCTGAGAAATGCTTCCGTCACATTTAAATTTATTTTTTCAAAATGATATGTATGTATGATATGTATATATAGATCAGTTTAACAAAAATCTAGAGAGTTTGTTATTAAAAAATGACAAAAAAAATTAGCGCAAAATTTTACGTCGACTGTAAACATTTAAAAATCTATGCTGCAAGGTTATCAAAGGCATGATTCGCGAAATTTACCACATCAATGTACCGGTTTTATTCAAATAACGCAAATTTAAACTAACCTGAGAGCAGTGGCGTTAAAGTAGTTCGATAAGTCGATAATATGTACATATAAAGTTGTTCTATATGTGCTTTTTTTTCGGTTTAACACTCATGGGTAAAATTTAATTCTGCTTTGTTATAGTTCATTATAAGTTTTTTATATTAAAACATGGCACATATGCCGGGTGGTAACAATTATGAAAGCTATTTATTTGTTTTTATTCTGCATTGAATATTCTGTTTTGAATACAGTAACGGCAAAGAAAAAAGATGATCGCGCATACTCACTTTCTTTTCTTCTACAATCTACAAAATAATATAATTTCTTGCTCAATCAAAATGGGCAAATTTTGCCTTTATGAGAACGCAGCTTTACTTTCAATGTTTTAAATAAAATGAATGTAAATGGTATTATTTCAAATATAGGCTAACAGAAATTTACGAAGCATCGTACTTAATTATACTTCATATTAGGAAAATAGTCAATTTTCATCAAAACTCATCTTGATTTACAATACACAATGAAAAAGTAACTTGCTTAGGCTTCGAAAAGTCGACATTACTTTGTAGCAAAATTTGGCTTGATTCGTGATGTGAACTATAGGGTGTTTTCAATAAGAGAAGTTCTAGGGGAACCATCAGTCATGTATAATCTCATAATTTGTTTTTTGGAGTCGACTTGAAAAACATATATTTCCATTCAGGGGAGAGGAAGAGAACATCGAAAAAAATAAGTTTCCTTTCCTTTTTAGGGTACGATTAAACTGATTTAGATCTAATTCCAAAATTTTACAATTTTCATCTGGAAATGCATAAGTGTATATTTTGAAGTGAATATTTTTTTCATTCAAAATAGCAACAAACCCTTTTCTTAGACGGTCATACTTTTGGCTCCATCTGTTGAAAACAACACCATTTTATCGAGGAGAATATGATGCTTATCCATATAATTAATAAGAGCATTTGGGATATGTTCTTTAACCGTCTGACCTTTTCGATGGCGGCAATCCTAAAAGTTCTTCTTTAGAGTCTGAATGAGACATAGATCAGAGGGCATGGAAGCTGCCATTGGGATTGATAATGATTCGCTAGACAGGATCGAAAGTGGGCTATCAGTCGCACGCGACTACGGAAACTGGTAGTAAAGTTCTTAAGTTGTCATAATTATATTTCTGTCTGTGTGTGTTATTAGTTGCAAAAAATGCCTTGACAATATGTTTTAAAAACCCTTGCAAAACATTACTCATGAAAGTTTCATTAATTTGCCTTATCGCGCAACTAATTCTGTGTTTGTGATTTATGCTAATACACTTTTGATTTTAAATATCCTCACAGGAAAAAATGTAGTGGAGTAATATCTACAGATCAAGTAAGTCGCTACCAATCCACTGTCCGGGAAATACCGTATTTAACATTCACTTATCGATCAAAATAGGGGCGGAAAACCACCATGTTCAAACCAAATCTGTCTATTTGGCATACCAAACTGTAAATAGGTCTCCTATCGTCTCCGTATCAAATAAAAATTAAAATTTCAATTCTAAGGATTTCATTTAGATGCGCCAAATTCACTCACTTTCTTTATTCTTTTGCTCACAAACAGTAAGAGATAAATATAGGGCATGCTACATGAATTATGAGCGAAATTTGAAAAAATGGTGTTCATTTAAAAAATTGAACTTTGTCACATCTAATTATGATGGACATGTGTGAGAATAACCGATACCCATGATTCGTCACCTTTTTGAGGGTGTCAGGATCATCATTGATGTCGTTTAACAACTCTCGACGGTAATTTTGTTCAAAATTAAGCAGTTTCGGAACACATTTTGCTGCTACATGTTTCATGTCCAAAACTTTGGAAAAAATTGCACGACACGAGCCAATAGAGATGTCGACGTCTTCAGCCACTTCTCTAATTGATTCGATGATTTTTCATCACCATTTTTTTCACTTCTTCAACAGTTTTAGCAGGTATTGACGTACTGGGGCATCCAGAGTGAGGTTGGTCATCGGCGTCTTCTCAGCCATCTTGGACCAGCTTGTACCACTTATAAACATTTTTGCTCAAGGTAAATTCACTGTCTCACAAAAAAAGTGCAAACTGGTTGAAACTGTGAACATATGTTAGAGACTAACCAACATAACAAAAAAATATAACGAATATCGAAGTCCGCTGAATTACAAACGTCACATTACTTTTTGAACACACCTCGTATAACACAATAAATATTAATGTGGTTAGATTTTGGGCAGCGTCAACTCGGAACCACAAAAAACTAAATATTTCTACAACACTTAAATTAAAATATAAAGTATAATGTCGAAAATGCACTCAACTATAAGCCACAATATACAGGGTGTTTCGTGAAAAACGGTAATTTTACATAAGTAACTCGAAAAGGGAACACATCATATGCAAGAAATTACTAAGGAAGCGTAATGTGACCAAAGTCACGTGACGCTCTACGGATCAAATACCTACACAGAGTAACTCAGTTCTTACTTTTCACACCAAACTTCGGGAAGTTATAATTTTGTGCCGCAAATGAAAAAGGTTATTAGAAATATATATATATTCTCTGTCATGCAGTGATGATCGACTGGTTTATTTAAAACAAATCCAAAATAAATTTTCATAGGAAAATATCTTCTAATTAAACACTCAGTACAGGTTTTTTGCGTCGTTTCAAAATAAATTATAATATACTTATTGCTATTATAAATCATTCGCAGTTTTTATTAGCAAATAACTTAAAAACCGATAAATGCGTCTTGTATAGTGTGTCTTCGAAAAAATTTTGACATTAATTCAATATGATTTCACATTACATCGATTCTGTTATTAAAATTAAGTGAACCATTTAAAAAAAAACAGTAAAAAAAAAATATTAAAATAATAATACAAATAGTGTAGCAATACAGATTTACATATTTACAAGTTATCGGGATTTTCACAAGCCCAATGATCTTCGGGCATTTTTTTTCGTTTTTAAGAACAAAAAAAATTTGAATAGTTCATTTAATTTGAAAGTACACAATGACATTATATACAGGGTGTATTGCGGTTGATCGAATATCAGACGTTTTGGCAAAACGGGACTTAGCAATTCACGTTTTTAACTCCGACTATCGATCTGAAATATTCTCTGAGAAGTCTCGGTGTTGCCATTGTACGGAAAAATATCTTTAAATTTGTATTCCGCTGCGAAAAGGAGAATACCCTCAAATACGGGTGGTTTATTAAGCAGCGGGAAAAGATGCAACCATTACATCCCATATTTTAAGAGAAGCTTTATGCAAAATGTTATGGCGATAACAAGCCTTTTCTTCAGAAATTTACCAATAAAATTAGGGAGATGCAGGTGGAACCAAATCATTGGAACATGGAATGTCAGAAGCATGTACGAGGCAGGAAAGATCCACAACACAATAAGGGAAATGGAAAGATTGAATATAGACATACTTGGCATAAGTGAAATGAGATGGCCTGACTCTGGAAAGCTGAATATTGATAATCACACCGTATGCTACACAGGACAAAACACCACACAACATAGAAACGGAGTAGGAATTATCCTATCCAGAGACATAGTACAAGCGGTAACGAACGTAATATCCTGCTCGGATCGGATAATAATGATTCAATTTGCAACAACAACAGTGAATGTCAACATTGTTCACGTGTATGCACCAAAAAACATCATGTAAATGCAAAGATCGGAAAGGGTCAACAGGAAGACATCATAGGAGAGCATGGTCTGGGGATAAGGAATGACAGAGGAGACATGTTCGCCGCCTTCTGTTTAGAACATCAAATGGTAGTCACCAACACAATCTTTAAGCTGCCTAAAAGACGCCTGTATACTTGGAAGTCACCTGCAGATAGACCTGCCAGAGTGATCAGAAACCAGATTGACTACATTTGTATAGATAAGAGATTTAGAAACTCTATTAAAGCCGTGAAAACATACCCTGGAGCCGAGGTACTATCAGATCACAATCTCCTCGTAGCCAAAATAAGAATTCAACTTAAGAAAACCAAGAACACGACTCAATACAGAAATGCGAACATTGACAGAAATTAATTAAACAACGTGCATAAGCTTTCAGTAGAAAAATCCAAGAAAACAAAACAAAAGTGGATGACAGAAGAAATACTGCGCCTTATGGATCAGAGGAGACAGTACAGAAACAAGAACGAAACAGAATATAGGAGAATCCACTCAGAAATTAGGAGGAAGATACGACAAGCAAAAGAAGCCTGGCATGCTGGAGAGTGTAAAGAAATTGAAGAAATGGAGAAAAAACATGATGTATTTCACCTACACAAGAAAATAAAGGAATTAACTGGATCGAGGCGACTGACACTGAACGGTGTCATTGAGGACCGGGACGGAAACAGACTCACTGATGTTCATCAACAGTTGCGGAGATGGAAAGAATACATTCAGGAATTATTTGACGACAATAGAAATTTCCAAACTGATCCTGAAAAGATGACGCACACTGGACCACCAATAACTAAAGGGGAAGTCAAAAGAGGTACCAAACTAGGATAGGATAGGAAAGGCGCCGGGCCCAGATGAAATTAGAACGGAAGTACTTAAACTGCTAGAAGATAAAGGAATAGGAGCATTGACAGAACTCTTCAACGTTGTATATAACGCTAGAATAATGCCTGAGGAATGGTTGAAATCAGCCTTCGTTATGCTTCCAAAAAAGAACAGAGCAACAAAATGTAATGACCATCGGACTATCAGCCATGTTTTAAAACTATTCTTGCGCATAATACATGGTAGAATATATAGCAAATTAGAAGAAAGAATTGGTGAAACCCAGATGGGCTTTCATAAACGTTTGGGAACGAGAGAAGCCCTGTTTGGTGTGCAAGTGCTGAGACGTCAATTATGATGTATATCTATGTAGTATTGATTTTGAAAAGGCTTTTGACAAAGTATAACACGATAAACTGCTTCAACTTCTTAAAAGGGCTGGGTTAGATACCAGAGATGTCCGAATTATTCAAAATTTGTATTGGAATCAAAAAGCAGTAGTAGGAATTGGACCGCATCTCAGCGATGATATGAAGATCAAGAGGGGGGTGCGTCAGGGTTGCATTCTGTCGCCTTTGTTGTTCCACCTGTATTCTGAAGAAATTTTTGACGAGGCCATGAGCGACAACATGCCAGGAATGATCATAAATGGTTAAAACTGTTAATAACATCAGATACGCGAATGACACTTTAATCATTGCAGATACCAATGAAGATCTGCAATTGTTGATGAATCAGATTACTAACTCGTGTGCCCAGTACGGACTTAAACTAAATGTTAATAAAACTAAATATATGATCATTAGTAAACATGTCTCACATCAGGATGATGGCATATATGTGGAAGGTGCACCTCTGGAACGAGTTGGGAGGTTGACTTGCTTGGGCAGTAACATCAAAGATAAATGGGACTCATCTAATGAAATTAAAATTAGAATAGAAAAAGCAAGAGCAGCATTCGTAAAAATGAAAAAAGTTCTCTGTAACCATAATCTAACATTGAAACTGCGAATGAAAATGGTTAAATGTTACGTACTTCCGGTTCTCCTATATGGGATGGAGTCATGGACACTCACTGACGCGACCATCAAGCGTCTAGAGGCGTTCGAAATGTGGATATCCCGTCGTCTACTCAAGATCAGCTGGGTGGATAGAGTGAATAACGCAGTAGTACTAGAGCGAATGAATAAACATCCGGAGATAATTTGAAACCATCAAGCAGCGTAAGCTAGAATACTTTGGACATATTATGCGTCACCCTGAGAAGTATGCCATACTGCACCTCATAATGGAGGGAAAAGTGAATAGCAAGAGAGGCCCTGGAAGGAGAAGAACATCATGGTTGAAAAATCTAAAACAATGGTATGGAAAATCCTCGATCGAACTGTTTCGTGCAGCTGTTAATAAAACAATGATTGTCAACATGGTGGCTAGCCTGATACCAAACGATCGTTAAACGGTCACGGCACTGTAAGAAGAAGAAGAAAGATGATGGCTATTGGTAAATCAAAGAATCCGAGGTCATTTAAGAATTGTATTATTTCATAAATCTTTTGTTCAACAAGTAAAAACGTTGCAGAAAGATAATAATATGAGCGGCAAAGCACTTTTACTGATTGAATGCTCGAAGTAATTCAACAGAAATCAATTGATCAGTGATGATGGAAATATCATAGCTATATTCCTTCCGCTTAATACCACGCCCTCAATGAAACCGATGGATCAAAATGCAATCAGGCTCATTAAAATATTTTACCCCAACACCTTATTAATTCATGTTTTGTTTTTTGAGGAAACTGACATTTCCAGCATTCTAAAAAACATGACTTTAAGAAATTCCGTATTTCTGCTAGCTAGTTCATGGGATAAAGTTAGTCCTGATGCAATTCAGAGTTGATGGAACAAAATATTTTTTCATCCAGACCTTGATTTGATCCCATTGGTTTTACTTATTCAAAGATCTGAAACCGCCAGTAATGAGCAAATTGACTGAAATTAGAAATATGCTACAGACTGTTGATACTGAAAGTAATATTTTGCCAGAAACAGAGATCAACGAGTGGATCGATGGCGATGGTGACCACTTACCGCTGTACAATGAGAGGGGCAGTGAAGACGGTAACGAGGAAGGTGTTAGAAATTGATCTAAAAATTAAAAATGAGAAAGCTATTCGTTGCTTTGGTACGTTTATACAGTGGATAGAAGAAAAGGGTGCTGAACTGAATGTTTTGTCGATCTTACGAACTATGAGAGAACGAGCAATACAAGCAAGACAATGCAGTATAAAACAAACAAACTTACAGATTTTTTAAAATCTTAGTTTCATAAGTCCTAATTGTTAGTCTTATTAACATTTACCGATATCGACACATTACATTTTACAATAATGCACACCATTTATTTGCATTATTTTCGTTATAATTCTATATCAGTAGGTGTAACAAATGCGTGAGGGTGTTCTTTTTCTTTTATTTTTTATTTGTTCGTAAATGTCTACATTTTTTGTGTTAATAAATGCTACAACATAGCGTATTTGGTGAATTTTTATAGCTTTTAAAAATATTCCAATAATCCGGATGTTTGACTAATCCGGATTGCCTCGGTTTTTATTAATCCGGATTACCGAAGCTCTACTGTATTTGCATTGGTAAAGTCGTTTTCAACGACGGAGTACCCAATTTCAACTCGTAAAAACCTAAATTAGCGATAGATCTGGTAGAACTCTCTACAATTTAATTTGAATAATCTTAATAAATATGAATTCATTTTTCTTCACATTTTAAAACCCATTAATAAAACAACTGTTTGTCAACACAATCACTATTGTGATTTGTAAATAAATAAGCGTATCAAGACACTTCATGGTTACCTTACAATTACGTATGTAGGGTGTTTTCTAAGCAATGTCAATAACTAAGGGTGCTATTTTAAAAAGAAAACTGAACTGAAGAAATGAAATATTTAATAGACCGAAAATGGTTTTCCAAAATCACCAGTGACAGGGCATACCTGTCTATTTTGGCAGACATTGATGATACGCCACTAATTTTTCCAATCATTTCTAAAGAAATTTAATTTCTTGATTTTTTTTCACTCCCATGTACGGTTTTCGCGTAAAGTAATTATCTACATATTTTATTAAAATACTTCAAATAATCGAAGTGCGAATACGAAGTACGTAATAGAATCATGCGATTTAATCAAATGCACGGCAATACGAGGAAACAAGCTGAAGCATGTATCCTTCAAGGTGGAAGACGCTTTTAACTATCTAGTTTCTATGTTCTACTTTTTTCAAAAAGGTTGTTATTAATTTATTGACAATTTTGTTAAAAATAGTAGGTAGCGTTTTTCTTTTTAAATAAGAATGCTTTAATATTTACTATGTTCTTAGGGTGGTATGTTATTTCATTAAAACTGTAAAAGTAAAAAGAACCGTCTTCTAATATTTTTTTCTTAAGGGCACTAGTTGGAAACTAAAAACTAGATATTTTGTTTTAGATAGATATGTTATTTTACGCAAAAAAAAATCTCATCTTAACCAGTACAGTGACGACCTAATTAAATAAGATATTATTTGTTCATAGGCAGTTAGTGGCATGTCACTGATTTCCTTATAAAAAAAATGAGATTTGCATTCATTTATGAGCACATTTGATCCCTTAATTCTTTTTAATCAGTCGCACGGTTTTCACTTAAAAATAAATAACTAATTAATCTGCTTACTGTCATATTAACGACATTGTTCTGAGCATGCAGAGTACAGGTTTAATTAATTAATTAATTAATTAAATTTCTTTAAAAATGTCTGCCCAAAGAGACAGGGTAAATTCCGTACGCCGCCACTTTACCACCCCGTATCTTAAAAGTTAAGACGTTTAGGAGATATGTTTGAAATGAATGAAATTTTCTTTTAAATGGACCCAAAATTCGCCTCCTTAAATATTGACATTTAACAAGAAAACACCCTGTACATAAGAGTAATTGGATTCAGTTGGAAATCTGGTTTTATTTTGAAAAAAGTTCCGGTCTAGTGCAGTTTAAAATAACACACGCAACGGTTTTCAACTACATTGTGCTAAATTCTACCGATTGAATAAAAATTTGGCGTTTTACTTTGTTTTTATAGTGATTTTTTCAGAAATTGATAATGTGTTTGAAATTGAAATTGATGAGTGGTTGTAAACCATACAAACATGTTCCAAGTGCATAATTGATATTGGGGAAGACGAAAAGGGTAGTTTTTCATGCGGTACCTTGTGATAAGAAAGATTGAAGATCTGCAAAAAAGATAGTTAAACCAAGAAAAGGAATAGCGATGCCAAAATGCTTTAAATCGTCAGCTTCAAATATGAATCAAATACTATTAGAAACCCATAAGCCTCATATTCGGTCAAAGAACCTTATGTTAATTGATTTTGCGGTGTCATAGTCATAATATCTCTATTCTGCAAACTGATTTTCAGAAGCTAGAACAGGAAACTGAGGTTCAGGCAATAGTCAAAATTATCCGAGTTGGTCAAAAGTTGGAAAAGAAAAGACAAAACCCCTAATTCAGTTATGTAGTCACAAAATCTACACAGGCTGCTTGAAAGCGACCAAAGATGAAACTACCCGTAGAACCAGAGGTATATTAAAAGAGTCTCGTCCATTGTGACTAGGTGATACTCCATTAGCGGTTTATTACTAAAATTAACAAACAAATTGGACAATTTTAAATTGGCCGTGAATTGTTCCTCATTTAATATAGTAGTTTTAGTTGAAAGTACCTTAAATGAAGATTTTTCAGATATCGAGGTACAGTGTGAATTTCAGTTTATTTCGTAATGATTGATCTAGCCTAACGAGAAGGATGTGTTTCTGATTAATTTCTAATTTATTTGGAAAAATATATTGAAAAATTGCGCATCAAAATGCTGAGCAGTTATTTATATCGTGAAAATTTATGACAATGAAAATTTATGATAACATGCCAGATGCATATTATATCTATCATTGTGAGGTTCCAGAAATTGCGATACTAAGTCATCCATCACAGTATGTATATATTTTTGGTGATCACAACTTGAAGAATTGCGGTTAAATGTCAATGTCTTCTTTAGCAGTGCGACTTGCTCAGTCTTTTGGTTATCTTTAGTTCCAAACAGTAGAAACGTGTTCTTGGACCGAAGACAGGACTGTACCAGTAAGTTTAGCTACGTAGCCCATTTATATAACATTGTTCCGTTTAGACCCTAGAATCGAAAAAGTAACCTTTCCCTATATAAGCGTATTTATACTGTCCCAATTCCCTCAATTCCCAAGCTGTTCGACAGTCTTGTTAGTGATCAATTGAAAAATCAGCCTGGTTTTTGTCCTGGTCGCTCAACAGGCGTCTTGAGGAGTTTTTTGTCAGAACATATACAGAAGTTTAAAATAGGGTCTTATTAGTCTGAAACAATCTTGGTTATATCAGGTATTCCTCAAGGGGAACACTGTTCTTCCTTATTTAGCGACTTATTTGTGGACACTATAGATTTCGGAACAGTGATAACCTTGCTCTTGCTGACGAATACAAGCAATCGAGATTATGAATGACTTCCCTGATCAGCAGCATTTGCACGAGGACCTGGACAGATTGAGTGACTCGTGCGATACAATTAGTTTCTTCAAGGGAGAACGAAAATATGATCCTCATATTCAATTCATAGAAAAAACTTGAAATATGTTAGTAAAATCAAAGATACAGGTGTCATTTTTGATGACAGATTAACTTTACTTTTGGATCACATGATCTAAGGAAACGATGTCAAATACAAAGCACTTGGTTACCGGGTTGCGCTACGTACCAGACGTGTTCTATTTTAACCTGCCTCCTCTAAGTAAAATAGAAGTTAAACAATAAAATAAACATGGCGCAGTTAAATATACGAACCTAAAAGAAGCCAACGATGTCGACCATACGCTGAATTGAGAGCAAGACCGAAAGATTCCGTGATTTTCTGGATGTTTGCAGATTAAAATTTTTGTAAGCAGTGGTATATCGGCCATGAGCTTTGCCAGTGGTAATCTTGGTCAAGAATGGAAATTTTGAAAGTAGAAGTCCACAACCTACCTCAAAACAATAGAAATTATTGAAATTATTGAAAAGGAGGAATCGACAAAATGTGCTCAACTTTTAACCTTGATGGGAGAGGAAACTTTAGAATTGGTTTTTAAACAGTTTGATGAATATTTTAATCCAAAAACCAACCTCACTTATGCGAGATATACATTTTTATTATATCGGCAGAAAGAAAAATTTATAATCGAATTGAAAAACTTGTCATTATTATGTGAACTGGAGAATTTGAGAGAATCTTTAATAAAAGACTTGTTGGTATGCGGATTGAAATGCGATAAATTAAGAAAACAGCTGTTTGAAAAAGATTGCAAGACTCTACAAAAGCAGTCAACTTTTGCGTGAGTTCTGAGTCCACAAAAGAGCAAAATCGCCAGACAACAATGGTGATGTAGATGCTGTCAACAAGAAGTTCCGTCCTGAACAATCAAGGGCGAGGCATTTTTCCAACCAGACAAGATCTGTTCCGTCCAGTAACCATAGTGCGAGAAGTTTGCAGCAGAACCAGCCATGTTGTAATTGTAAATGTGGTTAAGTTAAGTGCAGAAAATGTTTAGGTTTTAATGATTTTTCTCATTTATGCTTAAGATTTTCTAATTACAGTAATAATATTAATAAAAAATCATCCTTTCAGCAGAAACAAAATACTAACTTAAAAAAACAACAATTTTAACAATAACAATTTTAAAAAAAGGGTTCACACGGTTGAACAAAACTATTCTTTAAGTGATGATGACGATAGTAAGAATTTTTTATTTTTAGACATCATCGAACAAAGATTTTCTATTAATCCTGAGCTAGGACAGTCTGGGACAATAGGGACAGTCTACGAGGATTCTTGGGTGACGAACCTTCAGATCAATGATAGGGCAAACATATAATTTAAGGTGGATACTGGGGTAATAGCAAACGCTCTACCTGTGAGCATAGTAAATAAAATAAATTTTAACATTTCAAACTTGCAAAAAACTAATGTAAAACCAAGCTCTTATACAAAACATAATTTACCAATTTACCAAGATTAGCAACCTTTTATTTTATGAAGTAGATATTAATAGCATACCAATTTTAGGTTTGAAAGGTTGTTTAGAACTGCAACTTATAAAGAAAATTCAATCAATAAATGATTTTCCTAATAATTTAAATGTCAATCAAATTTTAGATAAATACAAATATATTTTTGGTGGAATATGTTGTCTAGAAGGGGAATATCATATAGAACTTAAAGAGAATGCTATACCTTCGGTTTGTCCTGCTAGGAAAATTCCGATAGCTTTGACTAAAAAATTAAAACATACTTTAAATGACTTAGAACAAGAAAAAAATCATAAAAACGGTAACTGGGATGAAATACCATCAAAAATGCATGATTCTAGATATTTTAGTACTTTAGATTCAACCCAGAGGTTTCTCCAGATAAATTAGATAAAGAAATCTCTAAACTTTACACGTTTGCAACACCTTTTGGTAGATATTCTTTCCCTATGGTCTTTCATGTTCATCTGAGGTATATCAGCAACGCATGCAAGAAATTTTTGGAGACAGAGAAAGCTGTGCAGTTTTTATAGATGATGTTATCTGCTTTAGTAACTCAATTTCTGGCTATAATTTAATTCTGGAAAAAATTTTAAAGCGTGCTGCACAACATAACATTCGTTTTAAGAAAGAAAAATGTAAATTCTATGTAAAAAAGTCTCCTATATGGGACATGAACTAAGAGAGCGTGGCATAGAGGTAGATAGATCTAAGATTCAGGCCATTTTAAACATGCCAAATCCAGGAAATGTCAAAGATGTTCAACGTTTTTTGGGCATGGTCACATATATAGCTCGCTTTGTAGATGGTTTGTCTGGAAAAAACTCAATTTTGCGTTCTTTACTGAAAAAAGATGTAACTTTTCGATGGTCGGATGAACATGAGAGAGCATTTCAAAACTTAAAGTCAACTTTGACAAAAACACCTTATTTGCAATTTTTTGACACTAACCAACTTACGACTATTTCTGTGGATGCTTCCCGGAGTTGAATAGCGGCCGTTTTGATGCAAAATGGGAGACCATGTGCTCATGCATCGAGAGCATTGACAGAAACTCAGTCACGTTACTCACAAATTGAAAAAGAATTATTAGCTTGTTGGTTTGGTGCTACACGTTTTTATCAGAATGGCAAAAAGTTCATAATTGAAACAGACCATAAGCCTTTAATTTCAATTATTAAAAAACCCTTGTATCTTACTCCACCAAGATTACAAAGAATGCTCATGCAGTTAAAAAATATGATTTTGACCTTATTTATAAACCAGGCAAAAAATTCATTATGACAGACACTTTGAGTCGAGCTTTTAATTCAAAAACTAACTTAATGAAAGTGTTGATTTTGATATTGCGTCACAAATTTGGGCTGTTGAGCTTTCCCTTAATATTGCTGATGACAAAAAACAGCAAATTCGAAAGTTGACTCGTGAGGATCCAAAACCAGGGTGGCCCAAAAGCATCAGAAGCTGTCCGTAAAGAAATTTTGCAAAAACTTCATCATAGCCATTTAGATTATAAAAAATGTTTGGATATGGCAACTTGTCATTTTTCTGGCCAAATTGAAGACATGATAACATCTTACAGGGTTCCGAGCCTTTGAGGCCTCACGACATTCCCAGGTTGCCTTGGCAAAAAATAGCTGCAGATATTTTTCAATTTCAATCAGAGTGTTACCTCTTAATTGTCGATTACTATTCAAAATTTGTGGAAGTTGTTGTTTTGAATCAAAATTTAACCTCTAAAAATTTAATTCATAAATTCAGATCAATTTTTTCAAGTTTTGGTATTTCCAAAATTTTAATAACAGATAATGCAAGCAATTTTTGTAGCTTAGAATTTAAGAATTTTTCAAAAAATTGGGAGTTTCGACATATTACTTCTTCTCCTTTGTATCCTCAGTCAAATGGACAAGTCGAAAGGACGGTACAATCTGTTAAAATTTTACTTGAAAAGTGCTTTTTCAATCAGGAATATTTAGCTTTACTAAACTTTGATGGATGGGGAGAACTCTCCAGCAAATGCTCTTATGAATCAAAACTTAAGATCTATAGGTAGTTCCAGAGATAAATAATAAATTTTGAAAAAATTTCAACAGGAAAAAGTTTAATTCTCACATAACAAAAAACCAGCGAAATCAAAAGAAATATGACAAAAATAAACAAGCTTTAACACCTTTAAAAAACAATTCTCTAGTAAAAATTCAAATAAAGCCTAAAACACCATGGTAAAATGGTAAAATTTTAAGAAAAGTAGCTTTTAGATCTTATTTGGTACAGCTGGAGAATGGTTCTATTTTTAGACATAACAGAAAATTCTCAAACCATCCAAAGATTTTCCATCTCGAAACTCGAGATAGCCGAGGAGTTTTCCCGACTTATTTTCAGAAAATAATTTTCATAATAACAGATATTTTTTGAAAATAGCCAATAATTCAAACAACAATGAAAAGTCCATTTCTGAAGATGCAGAAAATTCTTCTATACAGAATGATTCTGATAGAGAATGTATACAGGCTGATCCTGGTGTAAGCAACAACTCTGGTAACAACTTAAATGTAAATAGCTGTAGTGACAATGAACAGCCTTGTGAGCTGTAGTTCTAGTTCATTTTTAAATTATAGTTTTATAAATTCCAACTCTGACAAAGAAAAAACTCTAAAAAATGTAAATCACTCTTTTGACAACTACTAATTGGAAAATTTAGTGAGTAAAAAAATTTTAGATGATGCTAGTTTAACAAAAGAAAATTGACAAAAATAATTTATTGTTAAACTCAGACATACCCAGCACTTATAGTCGTAGAACTAGATCTGGACGCAAATTTCACTGAAACTTTCTGACTATGTCGTAGACACTAGTCCAGAGTCTTCAAAAAAAAAATTTTTGTTGTTTTTTTTTGCTTACACAATTTTTGTACTCTTACTTTACATAAAGTGAGAACTTCTTTTTTTTTTATCAACTTTAAACTCACCTCACACAAGGTAACCATCATTATTATAATTTCACGGTTGGTGTAAATAAAACTCAACTTCTCTTTATAGATATAAGGAATTATATTTTGTCAATGTAATAAATTGACTGTTTAACTTTAGCTTTTACTTATTAACATTAATTAGTACTTAACATCAACTTAAGCACTCCAGCTATAAATTTGTCTGTCTGCAGTTTTGTCCATATATCTAAATTGACCATAAAAGTGAAAGAATATTGTGATATTAGATATAAGGTAACGATAACAATAAAATTAAATCAATTAAGTAAGATTTTAAATAGGTGGCGCAATCATAACTTTGAATTGTTTATTAAACTGAGTCTGGTTTCCAATTTATTTATTATGTTTTCAAAATACATTTTGACTTGTAAACTTTATTTGTAGAAACTTAAACTTTTAAAATTTTCTTATAAAAAGGGGGATGTCACATGATCATATTGTATCAATCCTATATACCGTGATGGCTTTAGATTTTAGTTTTATACTATTCTGTACTTTTGGTTCACATGATCTAAGGAAACGATGTCAAATACGAAGAAGTTTCGCGGGACTAAGTTTTCTTTATTGTATTAATGTAATTAATGTCGACGTAGTCACTAGAAACAGAAGAAATAATTTTAAGTCCCAATATATCCGTTTCCATTGTACAAACTATGGCTTCAATGTTTTTATGGATAGATACTATAGGGTTGCTAATGAGCATCAGCTCGAAATATTCGGTTTTGGTATAAGTTAATACAAAAGACAATTTAATAAATTACATTTTGAGTTTACTTCCTTCTAGTTGATTCACTAATTCAGGCGGTGCTATGTAGTAATTTATTTTAGTTGATATGTATTAGTTTATTTTAGTTTGCTTAGTTTTCTATTTTTCATAAACTTATATTTCAATCTTTGTAATTTTCAAACTGTTAATGGGATTTTCCATAAAATAAATAAACAAATACTTTTCAGCAAATTGCTACACCCTATATACGTGTCATGATTATGTAGCCTCAGAAGAAGACTAACATAAGTAAAGAAAATGCCTCCAGTACTGATTTCTCACCCGAGTTTACACTAAATAGGTTTCGAACAAAAAGAAATGAAAATAACATTCACTCTCACGCGGACGTTTGCGATTGAGGGGGCACCCATCGCAAACACGCTGGGTCGACCTCCTTTAACATGGGCCCGCGCCTCTTCACCTTTTCCACGTACTCGTCCAACACATCCTGCTTTTTCAGGATTATATGTTTACCTTTCCAGTATTTCATCATGCCGAGCGCTTGCAACGTAGAAACTATATCGTACGAATGAATCGCCATCTAATGGATATTAAAGTTAGTTGGCCACCTTTGGGTCGTGTATATTCCAACACACGATAAATGCTCATGACTGGCGTGGCCTATCATAGACGGTGATGGTGATGCAGAATAGATTCACTGGGAAATGTATGCGAAGTATGAGTATATTATATTATCAAATATTAAAGAGATTGGTGAAATGGGGACAAAAATATTTAACTTATGGTCGACACATAATAACAAGGTGACAAAATTCTTCATCAAACTGCATTTTGAATATACCTGCATCAACAAGAAAAAGAATATGCAGTTTACACTATGGCTCGAGTGAAGTTTGCTGCCAAACACTTTGCTACTTTCAGCAAAAGACATTAAAGGTCGCGCATTAGACTACCATCAAAGTACTCTTCGTTCAAATATCCCACCCACGTTAACTATTTGACCAAAATTAAATATGATTTTGCTTCATTGGTGCTTTTTAATAAATCAATAAGAAGCTATATGTGCATAATTTTTTATTACTTGTGGAAACAAAAATAGTATATGCATTTGGATTGAAAAGCAAACCAATCAAATTATAATTAACACATAATAAAATAAGCATCACAAAATTTTATTTTAAATGTTTAAAATAACAATTTAAACATATTATGGATTTAAACAAACAGGCCAATCATTATAAATTGTAAAGAAAGTTCTTTTTTTCTGTTACCGCTATCCTTAGACTAGAAAGTCCTATATTATTGTATTAAAAAAACATATTTTTATTGGAATTAAATTTGCCCGACTTTGAATTAATAATATGTCTTACTTAAAATAAAACCGGTTTTTTCAATCATCAATCAATCAACTAATTGCATTTACTTAGGTTTTGGTAATAAAATGAAAGAAAATTATTAATAATATTTAGGTTTTATCTTTCACCCCTTCCGACAAGAAAACGGCTAAAAAAACTTGGAGACACTGAAAATGCAAACGGCGGTGACTGCAACACACCAAGTGGAGTACAGAGAAGGAGCACCCAGGCGCTAATGGTGGCTTTATCCCTTTTCTCTATTTCCTGGTAAAAGTCACATGACAGCAGACACTCGTTCCTTTTAAAATTATTATAGAATTTTTTTAGAAGTAACAACCGACTGCCCTTAAAACATGAACTTTTAAGGTTTGATTAACGTCATCTTATTATTATAAGGGAACGGAAAAAAGTCCTTTTCTAATAAGCAAGTAATAATTTCCTTTTGACATAATTCCGTTTAACAAAAACGCAATACATTAAATAAGGAAAAAAGAAAATCGTTGATGTTTTAAAGTGACTAAAGTGATAATCAACAAATCAACATCAAAATATTTTCAGAAGTACCTAAAATGATATATTTTGATTGGCTAAATTGTAGCAAAGAGTTGATTTATTACAATGATTGTGCATTTTAAAACGGATTTTTTTTTAATGTACTACCCTGGAAAAATGTTCACGAGATGATAAAAACGATATTATTACAGTCATGGTCATTTATCGCGTGTGGGATTCTAAAAGAACACTTACCTCTTGACTTATATCCTTAACCGAAAGAGTGGTTCCGGCTCGTGAGCATAAATAGCTGAGCAAGACATCTTTCCAGTACGACCTATACGAGATCAAGCCCAGATCACTCAAAGGTTTTTCTGGCGAACCTATCTTGCCCTCCACGCGTGTCAGTAGATAGCCTGAAACAAATATATTAATTTTACCAAACTGGGAGGAACAAGGTTGTGGTTATATTTAATTTTAAATGAAATCTCATAAAAATAAAAACTTTTTCTTATAAGCCTATTATAAAGAAATATATACTACTAGAAAAGAACGCAATAATTAACAATAATAATAGTAATAATAATAATAATATGACTTTAGTAATCAAAAGTGGAAATAATTTGCAATTAAACAAAACCAGATTAGGTGTGCTCTGTTGGCGTAGTCTGGCTTAGAGCGGCTCTACTGAACCAGCAAGTACATTGTCAATGAGGTACTAAATTTTTAACAACAATCACTTACTTGCCTAATAAGTTAATTCATGAAATTTCGATTACACACAATTATATACTTATCAAGGAAAGTGCTGTGTAGTTTGTTCTATATAAAGATAATATTTTTTAAATTTTAGATTTAAAGTTTTCAATACTTAAGTTTAAAAAGTTGAATGAATGGGTCAAGTGTTTGTTTTTAATAAAGTTATATAAAAACGTGCAAAAACGATGTACGATTTTCACGAAATTATATATTTTTACATGACAATTGTTTCGACAACACTGTGTCTTGATCAAATCATCAAATTTTTTATTTATTTTTTAAATAAATATTACCTGAACGTGAAGAGTTTACAGAGACGAATTAAGTATAATTCCTTCAGATAATTTAATTAATTTATTAAATCTAAGATTTAAACTAAAATAAAATTATAAACTACTCAACTTTGGAAAAACAATTTAAACAGTATTTTACGCTACGGCTAACATTAAAAATACAATATTAATATTGCCAATAGTTCTTAAAGAAACACTGAAAAAGTAAGAACAAAACTGCAAAACCAAAAAGAACTGCTTAATTCGGTTTAATTGTATTTATTTCTCGAAATGTCTCCCACCGACTTCGATACACCCTCGAACACCATCTTTAAGCGATTGGGCATTATAATAATATTGCTTTTTACAAAACTTCTGGATTCCTCCTGCGTCGGTTTTTGCTTAGTCGAAATTGCTGACGTTTCGCCAATCATTTTGTTGGCTTCTTCAGAGCTTGACTATTGATAAGAAAATCTAAGAATGGTAGGTTATTATTAGCTTCCAACTCAATGGTAAAACGTATGTGAGGGTGTATCGAGTTTAAATGAAAATCTCCTAGGGTTTCTTGATCATGAGGCCAAATTACAAATGTATCATCGACGTAGCGTTTTCATAATTTTGGTTTTAGATGAAAGCTGTCGAGAGCTTTCTTCTCAAAGGCTTCCATATATTCACGATGCCTGGTGATAGTGGAGAACCCATAGCTGTTCCCGACGTTGGTTCAAAAATTTGACCGTTATAAGATGAGAAGGCTTGGTTCCAGATTCTCCGAAATTTTTGCGATATATAAGCAGGTACAGAGTAAAATACGAGCCAGTTTCAGTCAAGCTCTGAAGAAGCCAACTGGATGATTTGCGAAACGTCAGCAATTTCGACTAAGCAAAAACCGACGCAAGAGGAATCCAGAAGTTTTGTAAAAAGCATTACAGTAGCCTGTGGAAGTATTAATAACAATGATAATAATAATAGGCAGACAGCGATTTTTTCACCTAAATACGTAGGTTTTGGCCTTGATGTCACAATATCCGGCAATAAACTGAAACAGCCACCTAACAAGTGTGAAATAATAATAATAATAAGAATAGTAATGAGCATTTGTCTTGCAAACTTAGATTTGAAAGGCCTGATAAAAAAAACAATATTTTATAATTCCACAATATTTTGGCCTTTAAGAAAATTAACGAAGGAAATATTTTTTTCACAAAATTAAAAATTTACCTTGTCTTATTGTGATATTTTCGTAAAAATAAGTATACCTAAAAAAATACTAAGTTTAGGGATAGAAAATGATTCACCCCGTATAAAAGATTCGAACCCACTTCAAGGCAAGTAGAGGATAAACGACTGTACCACCTTATAAAATTGTTGGATTAATAAATTCACAGCTGTCGGAAACGGCGTCAAAAATATAGGGAATTAAAAACAGGGTTATTTTTGACGAAAAAATGGCTATAAACCGAAAACAGTATAGACTATAACCACCCTATATTGGCTATACGAGTATAAAAGGGAGTATCTACTAATGCAATATACAGCGTGTGGAAATTTAAAAAATATAGGTTTGGTTTCTCACTTATTTATGTATAATGGAAAATAATTTAAATTTGTTTCTTGAAGTCACATCTACAACTTTTCTACTTATATCCTCTAAAACCAATAACAAACGAGATATATTACTTCTATACTGTATTTAAACACCATGTATATTGCGCTTGTCCAGTCCAGTCGCACCTGTCTTGCACAATTCTTGTGCTTGCGCTGTAATCGCCGAATGTCACCTAAACAACCTAGAGATACTGCAAAAATGGATTATTAAAACAATATATAGAAAAGATTTCGGTTACACTAGTGATGCTTTATTTTGGGAGAGCAGACCACTAGACTTACTGTCTTATATTGCTGAGGGCTGCATAAAAAAAGATTTTAATAAAGTCAGTGGAACAGAATTATCTACGAGACTAGCGAAAGGTCAACTTATATCATAACTTGATCAAAGACAATTGGGTGATTCTGTTCTAACTGTTACTTTTTTACTTAAAATTTGAGATTTTAAAACTAGACTTTTTGCATATCATTATGCATATTATTAATCTATTACACTGCAAAAATAAAAGCTTAAATGGATTTCACTACAATTTCAAGGCGTCATCATGTCTGTAAACAGTGCTGAGATGATGTACTTTCAAAATGATTCGCTAGACGTTTCATAAATCTCAAGACAGATGGCGCTCGAGTCATATAAATTCAAATAAAAAAAAAGAATTTATGGATAAATTTTAAAAATGGACAAGACACGATACTGACATTTAGCTGATATATTTCTGAATGATAAAATATATTATATAAAAAATATAAAAATTTCATTATTGTATTAATTACTCGCTAGTAAGAACAAGCAAGAGAGGGCATAGAAAATCACAGTTAAAATTTAAGATACATGTTGAGAGTTGGATACTCGATGGTGGCAGAAGAACTTTCAAAGATCTGATGAACTGAAAATATTTAAGACAACTTTTCGTTGTCGGTTGCTGTGCGTATCTATTAATCTTAGAATATCTTGCTAGATGTTTTCTTCGGAAGATTAATACTTTATATATTTTAGGCGCATACAAATTGATTTGGTATAAACCGGTTGTATTCCACTCACAAGCATTTACATATGATTCTGTGGATTTATAAGTGTATATTTGTGATTTTTTTGTATTATTGAATTATTATAAAAGGATATAGCAGTGGTGCATATGATTCAACGCTAAAATGATATTGTAAGCGACTTCAATGACTTCCCGAATTAGTTATCGGGACAAAGTTTTGGGACGCCCTACCTGGCGGCCCCCGCCGAGTCCCTAGTGGGGAAAACGCCAGAACGGGAGATACCGACGGCGTATCCGGCGTCGGCAGCAGGACGCGTATTGACCTCGACGCCGCCGACGCCACCGCCGCGCCGTCCGGGTCGATAACCGCCGTCTGGCGCGGAGCTCCGTAGCATCATACAAGCGTAGAGTCAATGGGTGACGTCAGAGGACGCGGCCACGCCCCGAAATACAGACGCCGGATAACCCGGTCGATTTGGGGCTTAGTTGAGAAACTTGTTTCCTAGTATACAAATTTTTTCTTTAAAGAAAGAATTTTTCGCCCTTTTGTAGACAATTTGGTCAGTCAAAAACCTTTATCTTTTAAAGCAAATTTGCCTAAATTGCCTTTCCAATTAATGCGGTGAATTTTAATTTCGCATGAAACTTTTGTTTTTTAAATGCAATGTTATATAAATGTAATATATTTTTTTTATTTCACACGTTATTTCTACTTCTTTCTCTAAAATATCCAATTATGCACCGATGTGAGAAAAGGGCTACTTGAAGACGTCAGCTTAATAGAAGTTCTAAAACGCAAAACGGCGTATCTACATATATTGTAAATTATTAAATTAAATTTGTTAAATCGTATTTCCTTTTCGAGATGATCGTAGAAAAAGTATGCAACACATTTATAAACCTCTTCGGTGGCGTATATAAAACATATTACAAAATATTATATTAAATCCGCTTAATCGTATTTTCTTATTAGATATTAGAAAAAATATAATATGCAATACGTATACAAACTACTTAAGCTGCGTGTTAAATCTTATTTTTTTGTAATGACGATCCTAGAAAATACATAGTGTGCAACACATTTACAAACCTCTTCAGCTGCGTATATAACTTATATTGTAAATTATTAAACTAAATTTGTTAAATCGTATTTTCTGTGCGTGATGATAGAATAAAAATAAACCTCTTCAGCGGCATACATAAAAAATATCGCATAATATAAAATTAAATCTGTTAAATCGTATTTTTATTTTGTCATATTCGTAGAAAAAGTATAGTACGCAACAAGTTTACAAAACTTGTGGCGTGCATAAAACATATTGCATAATATTAAATGAAATCTATTAAATCGTATATATAATATATTGCAAAAATTATTTCATTAAATTTGGTAAATAGTATTTTATTTTCGTGATGATCATAAAAAATGTATAGTATCCAACACGTTTATAAACCTGTTCAGTATCGTATATTAATCATTTCGAAATAATATTAAATTGAATTTGTTAAATCGTATTTTATTTTCGTGATGATAGTAGAAAAAGTATAGTATGCAACAAGTTTATAAACTGCTTCAGCGACGTACATAAAACATATCGAATAATATTAAATAAAATAGGTTAAGTCATATTTTCTTATTGTGATGTTCGTAGAAAAAGTGTAGTATAAAACAAGTTCACAAAACTCTTCAGTGGCGTAAACAATAAATATTGCATAATAATAAATGAAATCTACTAAATCGTATTTTATTTTCGTGATGATCGTAGAAAAAGTATAGTATGCAACAAGTTT